ATATCATTGGAGGCCAATATCATTGGAGTTTCTCGACGCCGTACGGAAAGTTCGGGAACTCGCATCTTAGAACTGTAAGGACCGCCGATTGCGCCCACTCTGCGCTGAGCAGGACCATTGCTGTGCGCCAGCATGAAAATCGACGAGCGTACAGTGCCGATGCCCTAAATGTAGCGTATCCCGCGATAGTTCTGTCGATTGACTCCTCGGCTTGGGGGAACTGAATGTCAGCGACTCCGAGTCCAAGAACGAGCAGACACGTGTTTCTCGCCGCGTTCTGTGCCATCAAGAACAGGCGCCTAATTTGTATACCGCCGTGGAAAATTCGCGAGCGCGCTCACGAAGTCTATATGCACGGACTGCAATCTTCATCATCTACAATGGGAACGGACGTTGATTTCCCTCGAGACGCAGACGTGAACGCACACACACGTGTGCGCGTTGGCCATGATTCGAGCAGAGAACGCGCGTCACCTTTTCTCGGGCTGGTGGGCCCTCTCTCTCCATTGTTTTCCGGTCCGGTTCAGCAACCTCGCGAGTTGGTTGTCGGGGGCGCGGACCGAATGGTCCGTGCGCCTATTTTGCCGCATTACCCCGTGTGCCCGCGTCGTTGTTATGTGCGGTGTAATTGCTCCGTGCCGCGAGCAATTTGGAGCAAGAGAGCGGCGGCGGGCGGCCCGCTCACGAAGGAAAACAGAAACAACGCGGCGCGCGAAACGCGGGTGCGGTGGGCGCGCTGGCCCCAGCCACCGTGCCTCTATACGGAGCCAGAATCGAGTCGTAATTTAGTGGCGGCCCTGTCGGAAGGTTACGTCCGATGGTGGCCTGCAGAACACGGGTCTCTGTGTCGGTTGCGATCAATTATATATGCGCGTGTTGTGCAGCTCCGCAAGTAACGCATTTTTCTTTTCTATTGCCACTACCGTTTGTACCTGAGAAACTCTAGAACGTCTAGTTTCTCTCAAAGCACTCAAAGCACAGCCAATCAGGGCAATCAGCGCAAAGGGCTAGGTGAATGATTGGGCGGGAAATACATGTAAACTAAGTAATGTATAATAATATTATTGAGGGAGAGAAAATGGTTTCCAGTCAACTGGGAATGAACGTCAGGTGCTTAGAACCCCAGCGCCGGTAAGTGTGAACGTTATCGATGCCTCTTTATTCGAACTAATTTTTTAAACTTGTTTCCGAAGCTTCATGGTCGCAGAGCGCTCCCGTCGTCTCTTGACAGTTAAAAGTCACGTAACCTTTGTCCTCCTGCACCACGCGCAGAGTCATCGTTCACAACAGGGGTCTCGAAGTGCACGAGATACTTTTAAAACAACATACTATTAGCGATGTGCGCGGCCAAAAGCGTCGCTGTGGTCAGCTTTCCACGATTGGCCAAACCATGGGCATATGAGCTCTGTCAGATTGTCAACTTTGACGGTGTTAGTTTCGGATTGCGATGACTCCTAGCTTCTACTGTGCTTTTTAAACACACCATCGAACTCGTCGTCGCCCCCGATTGTAAGTAGCCAGAATAACAACTGGTGACGTCACGGCAAGGCAAATCCAAGTCGTGACGTCACGGAGGGAAACCATAAGAGGGCGCCACCGAAACATCTCGGCGCTAATAGTGAGCTTATAGACGATTTCAAGTAGCAGCCCATGCGTGAGCAACACGCAGCCCACGAGGCCCCAACTCTATAGGCTTTGGCAAGTGAGCACAGAACACGTCAAATGCACTAGCACATTGAACGGCAGAGACCACGAAGCCCTTCTTTTTTTCTTTTTCTTTTTCTTTGGAGACATTCCCCGAACAAAGGAGCGTTCGTCATCTAAAGGCCCGTTCACACTCTTGCAACCAAGTATACGACTCAGAGAGACGAGACCAGTTTTCAAGCCTCTTGCGATCTCTTAGGACCAGCCCCGCTGCAGCGCATTCGGTCCTAAGAAGTCGCAAAAGGCTTAAAAACCGGTCTCGTCTCTCTCGGTCTTACTCGGTCGCAAGAGTGTGAACGGCGCTTAAGAGAGAACCTTGTTGCGTTGGCTGCGGTAGACCGTAGATAATGTGTCTGAAAGCAAAAACAAAATTAAAAAAAAGGAGAAGGATACTGAGGTCGAAACGTAGCATTTTCATCAGTGTATAAACAATCCATACACTTTCAAGCCCCCTGTGAGCCCACCCTTTCCGGTATATTCGCTGCGTATTATGTACCCGAAAGCGCGGTATTGGCGGTACGTGCTGCTGCTCGAGATTCCTTCGTTCGCGGCGTTCGGGCAGCTGGGAAGCCTGTCGCGTGTTCAGACCGCGCGCAGTTTCCTGACGGAACTAAGAGCTGCTCGGACTTCATCGGCGTTGCCCCAAATGGTCTCCGCGTAAGTTCGACCGGCCTTGGTCGATTAGCGGGAAAAAGCAAGCGCCGACATTGCGCCACTCCTTCTTTTTATTTTTTTATTATTGTTGCTGTTGCGAGTGCCGCTGTTGTTCTTGTGCGCTGCGGGGGTCGGATAAATGGACGCGCTTCACGGCGTGTGAACGTCGGCGCTCGAATCGCTCTTGTTTTGCTCGTTCGGCCGTGTACGGACGTTACCATCGGTCTCATAACTGGCAGGAAATGTGGCGTGCGTACCAGGCGACGCCGGCGGGCTTTTCCGCATTTCTGTCGCCGCTCTTTCAAAACAAAGCGGGCCGATGCAAGTTTCAAAAGGAGTGCCGACGGTGTCTTGCTGGAGAAATGACCTCTTTCGAGGACCAGCGAGAAAATTCAGTTTTCTAATGAGGTGTCTCGGAATGTTTCGTAACCTCCTTCTTTCATCCGCATATTCTTATATATATATATATATAACTTTGATATCCAACACATTTTACGTATAGACCGTAATAATTACGAGCTTTTCTACGGTTCCATTTTATGAGCATTCTGGAGTATGATGGGAGATTTTTTCGTTTCACAGAGAATCGACGAACACGCGCGTGTTGGGCTGAAGAGACCGCACGCAGGGCTGAGGATTTGAACACATTACATTGGTGTCTCTTCTGCAAGTATGGAATAAAAAAAACAAAACAAAAAAAAAAACAACGACCATGAAAATAAAATAAAGTTTCTGAAGTCTCGGTACACGTATACAGCCACTAAGTAAACTACGCTTCACAGTAACGGCAGTTACCCATCTTGGTGCTTAACATCATGGTTGTCAGTTATCTAAAGCTCTGTCTGAAATCACAGGAAACGCTTTTCCGTCCTTCACAAATGTTCAAACGGTTCGTGACAAAGCAAAGCAATGATTACACGAGCTTTCTAACAGCGAATCTAATGCTGATAAAGTCGAACATTTTAATCATGACAATCGGCAGTTCCGCCTGCTCTGTGCTAAGCTCCAAGATGGCGGCGCCCACAAAAATATCGGGGAAAAGAGTTGTCGATACTCAAAGCGAAGCTCATTTAACGGCTCTTGGTGCGCCTATATAAAACACCATACCGAACACATAAAGCGATCCGAACACAGGAGTGTTCACGGTTTTGAACATATTGGCTGTTCACAGTTCCTTCCCTCACCCTTTGCGAAGCCGCCCGACACGTTCGCGGCGAGAAGTTGCCGATCGGCCCACATCACGTCTGATATTACGTCTCTCAATTGATCGTCCTCCACGTCGAACCGTATCTCACTTAGACCGAATGCGGATCGAAAAGTAAGATGCCGATTTCGGCCCCTTTTTTGACCGGCACTCACCAGTTTGCCAGTACGTTTCCAGCCACGTTCCACTTATAATCACACCGCCAGTTTGAAGCACTCCTGCGGCTTTAACCGGGTATAAATGGGGGCACAATAGCCGGGGTCGCGTGGCGCCGCCGACGGAGGACCCCGGCGGCAGGCTGCTCGTCAACGCGGATCGGTGCTCCTTTTTTACACGTGCCGTTACACGTGCTCGGGGTTTCGACCCGCTGTCGGAGCCTTCCTGGGGCGCTGCTTCCCGGCCGCTTATTTACAGCGGAGACAGGCGGGCCTCGCTTCTTCTTCGGTCGACGGGTGACCCCCCCTTCAGCGCGTTTACAGGGTCCCCGGTACGTGACGAGGGGCTCCGCTTGTGTTGTTTGCTCGGTTCGTCGTATCGCTGTCCCGCGCCGAAGACGTGACCTCTTGCTCTCCCAACACACGCCTTCTGGTCGACTCGTTTTTTATTCATCGCGAGCTGTTTACGCTGGGGTTTGTCTTTTTTGTTTTAAGTGTTCATTACGCGGCGGGTATGATGTAATGAAACGTAAGCTGCGTTCGCAACCCTGGTGCATACAATCAGGTTCTAGGCAATGCTTACGAGCATCGACTCGGAAGTCGAATCCTGTGTTCAATTTACGGGAATCCCGAGAGTGAAGCGACAGGGACTTTTAGCGAACCGTTGCCGCGCTCCGCGTACCGCACTACCGGAGCCTTCGAAGCATGCTTTTAAGCACGCGCCCCGCGGTTACGGTATCATTCGGGCGCGCGCTTAAAAGCATGCTTCGAAGGATCCGGTGGTGCAGTACGCGGAACATGGTAGCGGTTTGCTGAAGTACCTAATATAAAGAGATCGTCTACTCGGAAGAAAATATTCGCGTTTTTACCGTCCACCAAAGAGTATACTCTAAAAAAACAAGAGTTTGTGCGCTCACTTTCCTGCAAGACACGCGATCATCCAATCACGGCCATCAATCGAAGGTCCCCAGCGAAGAACGGTGCTCGGAATATTATTACACTCGAAACATTCGGCGCTCGTATAGGTCAGTGAGCGAGCGGAACGTCAATCTAAAAAGCCCCGCACACTTCGCTTCTTTTTTCTCTCTAGTTGTATTAGAAGCTCCGTCCTTGGCTGGGATTCTGGTATTTTTCGCTTTAATATGCTGCCTTTCTGTTCTGCAAAGACTTAAACACCTTTTTTTTTTTATGCTACCTTGTGAAGTTTGTCTATCTATACAGATTCGACAGCTCCGGGGAATACACGCGTCTGACACTGTTTCTGTTTTTTTTTTCTTTTGCAGGTATGTACCGTGTGTCTCAATGGTAGCACTAGCAACATCGTACCTTCCCATCGTAGCCCCCACAAGTAGCAGGTAAGTGTTTTTTTGTTGTTTTGAACACGTGATTAGTTAGTGATAGAAAACCGCCTAAAGACAAGAGGCACCGTGACGATTCATAGACGTTTGGCGCTGCTTCGCGGGTCCCATCGAATCGTTGGCCGCGGTCGGACTGGGAAGTAAAACGGACACAACGGAACTTCGGTTCACACGAACTCGCCTTCCAAAAAACTTGCTGGCTAGAGTTTGAACCCTACTCCGAGTGCGGGAATAGAAATTCATTGTTTACTTTTCTTTTCAGGGGCCCTTTAAGCAGCAGACTGCTCTTGTTTGTATGGGCCTTTAGCAAAGACGCGAATTCACCTTTTTGGTACGTTTCTCTCATAAAGGGTCAAACAATACATTTTGCTGGATAATTTGAGTTTATAAAAGTCGCACACCGCAAGGTTCAAGTCCGCCGCGACCCCCGGGAAATTGACACGACGTTGCCACAACGTGCTGGCCAGTGCTGGCGAAGAGCCGTGGCACTTGCCCAAATGACCGGGCACACTGCGGGTCGCCGCTACACCTTTACGAACTCGCCGGTTACCGTGCACCTGAATGTCCCAGCGCCGTAGCTGCAGCTAAATCAACAGCGGGAGCGTCGGTTCAAGTCGAGTTCGAACTATGAAGCGCAAAACCGTCCTCAAGGGGAGTTCGAGCGGAGTTTCGATTCGAGCAGCGTTTATGAATTCGGCCGTCAGTCAGGCAGAAATATCTTTTGGCTCTACCTCTCTACCGGGCTCGGCCCGGGATAATCTAAATAAATTTCAATTCAATTCAATTCAAATGATATCACGGTTTGCTGACCCTGGGATCGATATCGCATAAAAATCATATAAAGGCGTTCTCTCGTTTGCTTGCAGTACCTAAAGTAAGTTTCGTTACACCGCGAATCGAAGCAGTTTCGTCACATGTACTACCACTCATTCGCGATGCCTCCAGCCGACGCGCCACGCACGGACGTCCAAAACAGCTAATACCCGCGTTCATTTTGCATTCCCAGCGCATGTTGTCGGCTCCTGCTCGGAGAAGGTTCTTGTCGCGACCGAATATTACCATATCCCGAAGTCGTCTATTCCTCTCGGAGACGGCATTTCGGCGAGCATCATTTATCAAATTCTTTCTCTCTTTATATATTTCTCTGTCCGAGCTTGGCCGTCGGCTGTCGCGCGCTTCGAGCCCCTGACGCGGTGCCTCGTCGCGCGTTGCGGTCTTCTGCGGGACGCTCTCTATACGGTGTCTAACGCCAAGAAATGCAGCCGTAGGAATTATAATGACACCGAAGCATGCGCGATCCAACCCAAAAAGCGCCGACACTCTTGGAGTGGGGAACCGACAAGCGCGCCGTTGTATAAAACTCGTCATACACACACAACTCCTCGCCGAGCCCGACAGAGCCGCGCCGCCGCCGCTGCCACCCTTCGCCGCCGCAGCACAGCGCGCACGCTTTCCTGGTAGGCATTTGTGTGCCGAACTCGCGTTCTTTTTTTTTTTTATTTGCTAGTTTTTTTTTTTTAATACAGTGCTTAGCGCGCGCTGCCGGAATCCATTGATATCGTGGTGTCGGCGTTTTGGGGTGGGGAAACTGCCATCGCCCTGAATTTATGATCGACCAAGGAAATTTGACGCTCGTGTGGCTATGAAAGACAAACTTAATAAGAGACTTAATAAAAAGTGTGCGAAGGAGGAGAAGGGAGACAGAGAGGAGAGAGAAGGCAAATGTAAATTGGGACCGGGAGAGAGAGAGAGAGAAGGCAAATGGGAAAGGAGAACAAGCGTCAATTGCCGGCGGTGTCGTCGACGCGCGCTCGCGGCGCGACATTAGCATAGTTTCGGAGGAGTAGGCGCCGAATTCCTGCTCCTAGAACGGCGCGACGATGCCTATCAACCTGCCCGAACGTTCCCGACGGCGTCTTCATTGTTTCCCGCGCGCTTTCATTTTTTTTTTTTTTTCTTCTAATGCGTTTGGTGGGGATGGCAAACCAGAATAAGTGCGACAACGTTCCGTTGCCGGCCGATTTCGTCCTCGCTGTAATTCGTGGCGGTATGTGTGCGCGCATGTAATCCCGCACTTTTTTTTTGCCCCTCTTGCACATTGTCGACTTTGTTCTATCGCTTCGGCTACGTTTCCTTTGATGCGCGGTGCAAGCCAACCCGCGCGCAGACGCTGCTCAGGCGTCATTTCAGGATTGCGCTGTGGCGTCATCTACCGCCAGTCGTTGCTGTCATTATCCGGTTTCGCTACTCGAGAGGTTTCCTCCAAGAAGTGCTGATAGACATTGATATACCGTTTCTGCTTTTACCTTAATATATTCGTTGTTTTGTTATATGAGATTAGATGTCTGATCCACAAAAAACATGGAGGATATTTGTGAAGATAGTTAAATATCTAATTCGGACTAGTCAGATGACTAATTTGGCCGCAGTTGCCAGTTCTTACTCTTCTAGTACGCTTCGTACAAGGTCTGAGTGTGTCCGTCGCAGTCGTCGGATTTATCTTACTTCTCCTTTTTATCCTAATCAAGCTCGAGTAGGGATAGGAACCTCCACGGGCTGATAGAGTAACATTCTGCATAAAACGTCCAGATATATGTTGTTGTTGTTTTTCTCACTTATTATCGTGAATAATCTTGCTGCAGCAAACACAGCAGGGCATAACAGCCTAAAAATATTCGTGCAATAGGTACCTCTAATGAGACAGAGAGTCGGACATAAAAAAGGCTGTTCTCAGAATGAGCGAGCAAGGCCCATTTAAAGGCTGAAATATATTTACGTAGCATGTCCGCGAATAAAGGTCACAAACCAAATCCACCAATCGAGCTGGGTCTCCTGTATAGCGGACCTGGAAGAATGTTCAAGCCTGTATCAGGTTGATGTCCCGAATGCCGTTCCAGGCTGCAGCAGCTTTTTCAGTTCACTGACAGCTTAAGAGACACTGACAGGGTATTCATGCTCGCCGAGGTTTCTATTTGCACATGACCTATAAGAGCCCAACTACACAGAGCATACTTTGAGGCTCCAAATTCGTTTTTTTTTTTCCCCTCCCGAGAACAGCCGGTCGAGAATTGGCCGACTTCAGTCGCGCTCACTTTCTTTTCCGTGGTCACGTGACATTCAAACTATGTGTACCAAATATATTCAGAGTCGCGCGTCATTTAAGGCACCCATTCAATATTCAAAATAGGAAATAATTCGAACCCCATTTTTGCGGCCTCCAAGAAGATGCGAACACGTTGATCGAAAAAAGAAACAAATGTTGCACAGATCACGGGAACTAGATGTACACGTCGTTCTCAATACTGCGACGTACCGCGGGCTGGACGACGCTATGTCGACGAACGACGATCCAACGTTGCGACAGACGTTTGGGGCCGGTACCTCGCAACTGTCGTTCGTGGTACCGGCCAATCGATATTCAAGCGCAGAACATCGAGTGGGAGGGATACCGACGAAAATAATCTCTAGAGAAGCCAAGAGGGACAAAGGACAAACACAAATCTCCAAGCACAGCTAGGGGACTGGTGCGCGACTGAAAAAACTCCGCCTGGTCCGGCGAAACAATCGCACGACAAACGGTGCACGCAAATTTGTCGTCGTCGTCGTCGTCTGCTTCAGACAGCTAAAATGCGGAGAAAAAAAAAAAGCGGTCGGGTGTATATACGTGACTTCCGGCCATGAGCTTCCGTGCCCGTGTTTCGGTTTCAAGCAGGCGGGCTTTTTTTTTTTACTTTATTAAAAATATAAATGTCTCTGCAACAATATATTGATTGGGTAGTCTCCTGACAGCATATGAAGTCGTCTGGCAAAAAAGAAATATATGTTGCAGGGCGTATACTGCCGGCCAGGCCTTCACGGCAGTCAACATCTCCAATTCCTTTAAATTTTTTTTGTCATTTAATAAAGAAAGAAAGATATTTGTTTCTGATCCGCGTCCGGCGTTCTTACCAAACCGCAAGCTCTTTGGCTGCAGAACGTTAAGAACATGCCCGGCACACGCGTGCCCTTCGTCTCTTGCCGTTGCAGTGATCAGCCGGAAACTTTATTTTCTAACTCGCCCGATCTTTCCGGTTCAAAATTCAAATACTGCCAGCGACCTCCAAAAGAGGTGGGCTCTCCGCTATTCGATGGGCCACCGCGGCGGACCACCTGGGGCCCCTGGTGCTGTGTACGGGGTCCGGCACTCTGGGTTCGGGACGCACTTGCGTCGTCGCGCAACATTACCTGCGATACCCGATGCAGTGCAGCCCCCGGCAACAACAACAGCTGCTGCTATTGCACCGCCGTCACCATTGAATGCGCTCGATACAGGAATATACAAGTGCGGCGCACTGCAGAACACCGCTCTGCGGTAACGCGGGAGACCCTCGACAGCAGCATTCTCCATACAAAACAAAATGCAAAACAACCCGTTTACTTTTTTTTTTTATCGCTACACTTACTGTATCCCTTTACACGTAACCGTTTGCTTTGGAAGTTATTCGCAGCCGGTCGATTCAAGCTCATTTGGCGGTATTATTTTAGCTTGCATCGCGGTATCGCTGCTGACTGTGCAGGTTTGTTAAATTTTTTTTCCGGGCGGTTGGATGCATATGTTTTTAATTATCTGCGCAGAATCGAGCACATGTGTCGCCTGAAACGTTCTGCGAATAAAGTACCGATTTGTGACGGAAGGCTAAACATAAACGAGCTGTTTTTTTGGACGCCGTTCCGCGCTGGGGGATTCGCAACTGCAGTGTACAGCTACCCCGTTCTTCTGCACTCAGCCCAACGTAACCCATTGCTACTGCAGTTTCCGTTCCGCGATATTGGCTAATATTTTAAGGACAGATAGACGCATTTTTCGTGCAGTCGTCAACGTCTTGAATCTTGGAACTTCCGATATGGGGAAAACAATGTTTCGCCCGCGCCAGGCAACTGGAAGGTGTTGTCTCTATAACGACTATCAATCACTCCTGTTTTGCATCTTCTATACTTTTTCTACTTGTCCCAACTTG